GGGAAGGGAAGGGAAGGGAAGGGAAGGGAAGGGAAGGGAAGGGAAGGAAGAAATAAATAAATTTAAAAACAACAACCCACAAATCTTAGCTATGGCCTTCCTGTCCTTCTCGGTCTATGCCATGGCACCTACTCCCTCAGCCCATCCACTTCAGCCCCATTTGACTTCTTTCAGTTCCTGTAAAGTGTCAAGCTCCCTTTTGACTCAGGACCTTTGTTCAAGCAGTTCCATTTAGCTGGAATGCTCACCTTTCCCAAACTTGTTCTTCCATCCACACTTCCTGGTTAACTATAATCCCTCGAATCTCAGTTCATTTATCATTCTCTCAAGAGCCCTTTCTGACTCAACAGTCCAAGTGTGGTCCCTCTTGCTCTCTCTCATGGCAACCTGTACTTTTACTTCAGAGTGCTCATCAAAGTTGTACATATATATTTTGTGCGTTTTTTGTAAGTTCATGTCTGCTCCCCACCCCCACCCCCCACTCACTATAGTTTATATGTTCCTTTTTATTTTACTCTCCAGTATAACCCCAACACCTAACATAATGCCTGGCACATAGTTAGCATACTACAAATATTTGTTCATGAATGAATGAAGGTAATTACTCTAAAATAATTATTTCAGCCCCACTCAAATTCTCTCTACTATTGCTGGTAATAAGTGAAACTAATCAATGTGCCTTTGAATCCTGGGTAGCAATAGAAAAGTCAAAGAATAACTCACCCATGGATAGTTGAAAATTGATTTTACTAACAGACAAAACGTTAAAGACCATTCAGTTTTTTTACTTCTTTTTTTTTTTTTTTACATTGTTGCTCATCTAAAGATCATATTTTCATTTATAGACACAGGGAAATTCTTTGCAAGAACAAACATTTTTACAAAATGAGTGTCCTTTGTCCATTTTTCTACTAGGGTATTTATCTTTTTTCTTTTGAAGTGTCAAAATCTTTCATATTTTAAGGCTGTTATTCAAGCTGTAAATATTTTTCCCATCTTATCTTTTACTTTTCCATTGTTTATGATGCTTTGAAATATAAGGATTTTTTTAAGGTGATTTATCTATTTTGAGAGAGAAAGAGCACAAGTGAGGAGAAACAGAGAGAAGGAGAGAGAGAGAATCCCAAGTAGGCTCTGCACTGTCAGCACAGAACCCAATTCAGGGCTCTAACAAGAACAGTGAGATCATGACCTGAGCTGAAATCAAGAGTCCAATGCTCAACTGACTGAGCCACCCAGGGGCCCCAAGGGGCTTCATTTCTGGTTTTGTGGTTTATATTTTATTTTTATAAAATTAATTCTACTTTTTTCTTTATAATTTTTATCTTTTATATTATGCTTAGAGTGGGCAAGTAAGCTTTTTATTCCTCCATGGACACCAGAATCTGCAATGCACTCAGGGTACATTTCTCCAGCTGTTTCTCCCACCATTCCCAATACAGTGCAGAGTATAACTCATTCATTTAGTCATTCATCTATTTATAAGTTTATCATTTATTCAGCACCTATTATGTATTAGGCACTGTACTAGGAACCAGGCAAAACTGACATGTTTCCTATCTTCATGGAACTTATAGTGAGAAGGACAGTTCTTTAACATATAATCACTCATAAATATACTACAAATTGACAAATGTCCTTAACAAAAACATAAGCACGTGGTATATATTTCCTGTGGTGAACATGCTGATTGTAAAGTCAGGCAAAGGGGCTGGCAGCCCTTCTGTAATTGAATAAATTGCCATTCTTGGATTGGCGCTCTCACAACTACTACTCCCACCACTCTGATCTCTTGTGATTTCCACTCCAAAACCACAAGCCCATCTCGTCCACTCAAAACACACTATGTGGCTAGACATGTTTAACCTGTTTGTACCTCCATTTTCTCATCAGCAAAATAATTATCATACCTATTCCATAGGTCATTTTAACCATTACAGAAACTAATATACATGAAGTGCTTAGAACATTGCCTGGTACATAGTAAGCGCCCAATAGAAGTGAATAATTATTAATCGAAGGGGGTGAATAGAGACAGTAAGTTTATGGGCAACTCATAAATACAGACCACAAATACATCTGCCACAAGACATTGTGGGGACTTTTAGGAGAAAGAAATCATATCTGACTGGAGGGATCAGGAAGGCTTCATGAAGAAGGGGATAGGAGGATTTGGACATGTAGGAAAAGTGGGGTTGGATACAGGGGATAAACTTCCAAAAAGACAAAATGGCACTATTCTGTTTGCTCACAGTGTTTCAAAAAGAGGAAAGCTTAGAGGAGTAGCAGGAGATAAATCAGGATTCATCACTTCACATGTATTTTGGAGAGTTTTGAATAATAAGTTTATATTATTTCATTAGTTATATATACGGAGAGGCTGGAAGTTTTTGAAAGAACAACAAAATCAGAAATATAGTTACTATAATGTGACTATATCCACTCAGATCCATCATCAGAGTAGGAAAATATGCTTCAAACCTTATACCTTGTATTTGTACACCCATGTTCATAGCAACACTATTCATGATAGCCAAGAAGTGGAAGCAACCAAATGTCCATTGAGAAATGAATGGACAAATAAAATATGGTATGTACATGCAATGAAGTATTCAGCTTTAAAAAGGAAGAAAATCCTGTCACATGCTACAATGTGGATGAACTTTGAGGACATTATGCTAAATGAAATAAGTCAGTCACAGAAACACAAATATTTTATGATTCTACTTATATGAGGTATCTAGAATAATCAAATTCATAGGAACATAAAGTAGGGGTTGTTGGGTGGGGTTAGTGGGGAGCTGTTTTTTTAGTGGGCATGGAGTTTCACTTTTGCAAGATGAGAAATTTTTGGAGATTTTTTTAAGCTTATTCATTTTGAGAGAGAGCACACAGGGGAGGGGCAGAGAGAGAGAATCCCAAGCAGGCTCTACACTGTCAGCACAGAGCCAGATGCAGGGCTGAAACTCACAAACCATGAGATCATGACCAGAGCTGAAGTCAGGAGCCAAATGCCTAACTGACTGAGTCACCCAGGTGTCCCAAAAGTTTTGGAGATTTTTTTGCACAATGATGTAACATACTTAACTTCCTGAACTGTACACTTAAAATGGTTAAGATGGTAGGTGGTAGGGGTCCCTGGGTGATTCAGTCAGTTAAGCATCCAACTCTTTGTTTGTTTGTTTGTTTGTTTGTTTGTTTTATTGTCCCAATTCACACTTCAATGGTTTTTTAATTGTCCAATTCACACTTTAATGGTGGTTGGTTTTTTTTTTTTTTAATTTATATCCAAGTTAGTTAGCATATAGTGCAACAATGGTTTCAGGAGTACATTCCTTAGTGCCCCTTACCCATTTAGCCCATCCCCCCTCCCACAACCCCTCCAGTAACACTCTGTTCTCCATATTTAAATGTCTGTTATGTTTTGTCCCCCTCCCTGTTTTCGTATTGTTTTTGCTTCCCTTCCCTTATGTTCATCTGTTTTGTGTCTTAAAGTCCTCATATGAGTGAAGTCATATGATATTTGTCTTTCTCTGACTGACTAATTTCATTTAGCATATTCTCTAGTTCCATCCACGTAGTTGCAAATGGCAAGATTTCATTCTTTTTGATTGCTGAGTAACACTCAATCATATATATATACCACATCTTTATCTATTCATCCATCGATGAACATTTGGACTCTTTCCATAATTTGGCTA